TTTAATCAGGAACTACAAAACCGAATGCTCTGAAATCATGCAGATGTTTTAAGGTCATAAAGAGCATAATAAATGTTTAGTCAAAATATATTTGCTTATCCCCTCCAAAAACTTGATGACGTCAGCTCGAAAATTTGCCGAATAAATCATATCTAAAATGTACAAAATATGATCAGTCTGTACTTGTGATCTATCACTCCATTCATATTTTTTGGATTTGCATATACAGGGTGATTCAAGAAAATAAATGAAAGCGTAAATTTATTTTACTGATTTACTCAGGAACTACAAAACCGAATGCTTCGAAATCTTGAAGATATTTTAAAATTATCATAAGCATGGTAAACTTTTGATCAAAACGTATTTGGTCGTCCCCCCTAAAAAATTTATGATGTCACCACAAAATTTTGCTGAATAAATCCTATCTAAAATGTACAAAATATGGTGAGTCTCTTCTTGTGATTTATCATTCCATTCAAATTTTTTCGATTTGCATATACAGGGTAACTCAAAAAAATTAATGAATGCGTAAATTTATTTTATTGATTTAATCAGGAACTACAAAACCGAATGCTTTGAAATCTTGCAGATGTTGTAAGGTTATAAAGAGCATAATAAATTTTTAGTCAAAATATATTTGGTTATCTTCTACAAAAAACTGATGACGTCAACTCAAAAGTTTGCCGAATAAATCGTATCTAAAATGTACAAAATATGATGAGTCTGTACTTGTGATTTATCATTCCATTCATATTTTTGGATTTGCATATGCAGGGTGACTCAAAAAAATTAATGAAGGCGTGAATTTATTTTATCGATTTAATCAGGAATTACAAAACCGAATGCTTTGAAATCTTGGGAATATTTTAAAGTTATTATAAGCATGGTAAACTTTTGTTCAAAATGTATTTGTTCATCCCTCCTAAAAAAATTGATGACGTCACCCTTAAATTTTGCTGAATAAATCCTATCTAAAATGCAAAAAATATGATGAGTTTGTACTTGTGATTTATCATTCCATTCATATTTTTTAGATTTTCTTAAGAGGTGGTTCAAAAAAATTAATGAAGTCAATTTATTTTATTGATTAAATTAAAGGCAACACTTATTATTAGTATTACACCCCAACCAACCCAATTTGGTAGACACAAAATTTGTTAAAGGAAAAACTCGGTTGAAACATAAGAGGGCCACGCTTATTTACATCGACTTTAACATTACAGACCTGCATTTGTTTTATGCGGTCACTTGGTTCCGCGAATGCGAAATAGACATGTTTATAATCAACCAATTGTGAATTTCACCGTCAAGAATTAAAATAAAACGCAATGTTTTATATAATAAGCGGAAGTCGAAGCAATAAAAGCGATGGTCGTTTTGTTTACAGTTTCTCTGTTTGGCTCTTACGTATGCTGTTACGCTTGTCATCTTAAATTAAGAATGTTTATACATAAACGATTTTCAGTTGCCCCTCATATTACTAGACAGCGGATTTCTGTCGGGCTACGTCACGATTATAGGGGGGGACGTGCTGGATTCCATAAATATAATTGACGATTTATTAATCAAACGGCTAAGTAAATGAGAACGGGAATTAACAGCAGAGTGCAACGAAACAACGTTATTCTAATCTCAAATAAACGAAGTGCAGTCCGCAACGGCAATGAATTCGCATCCCGTGCGAGCCGTACCGAGTTTGGCCTTGCCTAGCCCGACAGAAATCCGCTCTCTAGATATTACACACCGGCGCCGTATACGTGAGTAAATTGTTTCGTTATTTTATTGATTATAAGAAATCAATATTCAAAACGACCCAATTCATTTTCCCGAAAATTTGGGAACACAATAATTTTATTCTTAGTATTACACTACATCTATCCCAACTGATATACGTGTCCTTGCAAAAATGTTGATGACGTCATCACAATTTTTTTTAAATTCCCACTACAAAAATGTAATGAGAAAAAAAAACATAATAGGCATGCAGTCGTCAAGTTTCCGACAGCGAGGGAAGTACTGTCTAAACTCTTTAGACCAATTTTTTTAATTGTTTTTGAAAGAAGTACAACTCAGCCGAGCCTCTCTTCTCAATGCATCGATGTTACGCCACTGATGGCCCGGCTACAAATCGCGCAACTTAAGCCCCGCCCCTGTACCCTTTCGTGCTGAAATTACTTCTAATAAAATAAATATCTATTCTTGTTACGAAAAAACAAACAACGACTTGAAATGCAATAATACTTTTCACAATCGCACGGAAGAAATAGTTTTGTATGACACGTCAGTTAGGCGACAGGTCCGTTAGAAACGCCAACTATTCAAATTCATTCGAAGTGGCGATTCCTATGCAAAATTTTTATTTTTTTTTTAATCTTTTAGCCGTCTAATTTTTTATAAATTCTCTTACATATAAACCTTGTGCCGACAATAAGGTACACGTAAAAAAAAGAATCGTCCAATTCGGTGCAGCCGTTCTGAAGTTATGAGCGTACATACATTTCGGCGATTCATTTTTATTAATATAGATTTCGAAACTCAAATCGCCAAAAAAAGCACTCTGATACACAGAAAAGATATGAAAGAAGCTATTCACGTGTTTATTTTCTACATAAATACCCACACTTTTAAATAAAATGCGAAAATGTTAAGATTGTCGCTTATGGAGCTTCACGGCGCTTGTCAAACGCTGAGTTCCCGCCACAATATGACGTCACGTGTTATTGGCTAATTACAGCATACAAATTCAGTTGTGCTCAGTGTGCTCAGTGGCGTAACAATCAAACTGCGGGCCTGTGTTCTACAACACTGTGGGGCCCCTAATGAACAGCGAAATAAAAATATTTAAAAATACGAGTATAATGAGTAAAGTATGAGTAGATTGCAATCAGGGCTTTCGTTTTATTAAAATCATTCTACCTGAAACACTGAATTAAAAAAATAAAATACAATAATTACCTGAATACATATAATTAAAATATATACAATTATACATATTAGAAACTAGCCGACCCGGCAAACGTTGTTTTGGGATTTCTAGTGAATATTTTGGTAGTTCAATAAAAAATTAAATTAAAATAAATACATATAAATATAATTAAATTAAATTATAAAAATTTATCGTACGACAATGATTATATTCAATAGCCATCTTGCAACCCTATTGCGCATCTGTGGATGAAAGCAAAGATACTCATATCGTTATTAAAAAATGGGAGTTGGTGGTAGAAGGGTCAAAATTTAGGGTTATATGTATTTTTTTAATGCCAAATCTTAAAAAAATAAAAAATGTTGTCTAAAAAAATAAAAAAAAAATTTTTGGGCCACCCGTATCACTTAGGGGTATAAAAAATTGTTTACTAGACCTACCGAATATACATAAAAAATTTCATAAAAATCGGTCAAGGCGTTTCGGAAGAGTTTGGTTATTATAAACACTGGGACACCAGAATTTTATAATAGATTATTTTAGAACAAATTTCATTACCATAAAAAAGGTTATACTGAGTCGACCTTAAAAGATAGACATATGCTGTCGCGGACTTTTTTTTAGAACTTTTAGCGGGAAACAATTCCATCATACAGGATTTTTATGTAACTTTAATCGTTTAAGCAGCGTAGGCAACGGCAGCTGTCAAAGGAGGAATAATTTTTCCGTTTTTCCGATAATTTTTCATTGCTGCTCCGCTCCTATTAATGTTATGTACCTTCCTCGATAAATGGACTATCCAACACAAAAATATTTTTTTAATTCGAACCAGTAGTTTCTGAGATTAGCGCGTTCAACCAAACAAACTCTTCAACTTTATAATATAAGTAAGTATAGAAGTATAGATAAAAATGCCCATTTTTTTTTATCTCAAAATTGTTTTCATCTTGCAATGGGCAGAAGTTGATACAAAATTTAACACATCCAAGCTTCTAGCAGTTTGATTTCCAATTGAGAGATTCAATGAAGATAATCTGCATTGGCCCATTGTGTTTCTTAAAAAATTTGTAGCCATCTTTAATTTCGAAAAAGATCTTTCCGCTGAAGCCACCGAAAGAGGTATTGTACGAAAAGTGAAACATGCTGTGATAATTTCAGTGAAACTAGTGTAGGTAGGTCATTCTGTAATAATTTCCCAGTCCAGTTTTTTTGTACTTAAAAAATTAGTTGTAACATACATCAGATATATTTTATTATTCTAAAAGAGCACCACAAGTACAAAATTAAAATAATTTTGAAAATACGAAAGTTTTCATAAAACACAACTGAAACTGAATTTTTTTTCACGTCTTATTACAGCATGAAGTTTCACTGTAGATCTGAGGACAAAATTTAAGCCTTTCCAGCCCTTTGCAGCAAAAAATTCGTAAATAGCAATGAACCATCGATCTTGGGATTACCGCACATTTTCGAATTTTTTATTTCAGAACGTAATTTGGGCAATAATATAAAAAAATCTAATAAAAAAAATGTTCGTCTGACCGGACCGGGCCCCTTGAAGCAGCGGGCCTGTGTTCCGGCGAACACATGGAACACCGGTAGTTACGCCACTGAATGAGTCTGCTATTATTCTCTAATCTCACCCCATCCCCAAAAGTCTAGCGTAACTACCGATCATTTATCCGCGCATCACTTGGAAAGTGACCTACACCACTCTGACCTACTGGTGCTAATCTAATCTGACTGTTCGAGAAACTTACGAACAATATGACATGTTCCTAACAAAACAGCTTTTTGAATTTTGACAATTATTATTATTATCATTAATAATCATATTATTATTAATATATTTTTTTTGTATAATTAATGATATTATATTATAGAAATCGTATGTAATTTTTGTAGGACAGCATATTTGACAAAATGACGTCACTTTTATTCTGCTGCTATCAAAACACTTGCAAAAGCGACGAAACTAACAACTGCACAGTAACAGAAAACCAGATAACGTTACGAGTGAGATATTCTATTCTATGGACAGTAATTAACGATCGCGTCGCTTCTGTTTACTTCTGTGGTCGCTGTTGTAGCATCGACGTATCGACGTTCGACTGCCTGATCGACAGATAGTTTAGGCAAAATGTTAGACGGCAGTTTGTTTTTGTAACTATTTCTATTTAAAAGACTTAAATTTAATGTCTGCTACGTAGTTTTATCGCTGCAATGGAATAGTCATATCGGAAAAACACGTCATAAATTACCATGGAAGAAAGTGGAGTCTTGTAAGGAATAACCTCAAAAATGAAAATGAATAATGATATTTATCATGAAAAACAAGTGAGAGAATTGTGTGCTTTACACGCTCTAAACAATTTATTTCAATCGAAAGATGCGTTCACGAAAGTGGAGTTGGATGTAATTTGCCACTCATTGTCGCCTGACAATTGGATCAACCCCCATAAGTCTGTCCTGGGACTTGGCAATTATGATATCAATGTGATAATGAAGGCTCTTCAGTCCAGGGGATGTGACACAATATGGTTTGATAAGCGCAAGTGAGTTATTTGTTGTCAAAGTTTCAGTATATCTAAGTTGTGATTGCAGAGACCCCAGTTGTTTGAATTTCAAAAATATATGTGGCTATATTTTGAACGTGCCAAGTGAGTATAAAATAAGTTTCATCACATTACCCTTACGTAGACGACACTGGATCACGATTCGGCAGCTGAATGGACTGTTTTATAACCTAGATTCGAAACTAGATGTCCCACAAGTGATTGGAAGAGTAAAGCACGTAAAATATTTTTTATTGAGAAACTGTAATTGTTTTGTAGGAACCGGATCTCCTGAACTATTTAAAAGAAGAACTAGACTGCCGAGATAAGGAATTATTTTTAGTTGTAACTAACAACATAGGCAAGGACCAAGCATGGCTGAAGAACCAGGCAACTTATAGCAATAACTTACAAGAACGCGAGGCCGAAATTCTACAACTCAAAGATATAACAAGTGATGAGGTCAATGTTACCATCAACCCCTTATGTAATAATAAAACAGAGTGGTCATAATCAAACATTTACTCATTTGTAGGTATAACAAAAATTGCCATCATGTGTTCAAGTGCTTGATGTAACTTTTATATTGTGCTTTTGATGGAACATACCTACATGCTAACTGTACATAGGAAATAAATCAGTCACCGTCACCCCAAGTTTCACTGCAATTACCATTCCTTGGTAAGATAAGTCTTTCAGAATCCAAGCGTACATCATCTAGACTTTTATACACTTGAATCCGCCTGTCGGCACTCAGTTCCCGCTGGCGCCCCCAAATCCAAATCAGATCGGTGTGCGCCAACCCATAGTTAGTGCACGACCATAGAACTGCGTAACTATCATAATCCGTGTCGATGACTTGATAAGCGCCAGCCCCCGGTAAATACTGACCCAGCATTCGAGGTAACTTTGTAACCACCTTATACGCCAACTTGCTAGGGTCTCGCTTCGTGGGCGACGCCAGCCCTTCACTGACCGTTAAAGTCCCTGACCTAAAAACCCAAATGTTTGGTTTGCGCAATCCAAATCAACTCTCACCATCTGCTTCTGGCTTTCACGTCAACCTCTAGCTGCCCTTTGGTGTTTTCAGTCAAGTCAATGCTCACACAACTTGAGACCACCTGTGCAAGATAAAACGAGCGCTCGATTTCGTACCAGCGTCCTGCAAACTATGTTTTACGTGTATTGTTTTGTGGTAATTCAGCTGACTCATGTTATGGATAGTCATAGTTAAAAAATAAGTACTAACCCGGCTTAAGTTGAAGTTGTCCATGTAGGCGAATTTGGGGCATTTTCCGAAACCCGAGCACACAATTTGTTTGAGGAAAATGGCAAAAAGTAAAATCGACGCAGTACGACGTTTTTCGATCATCACCATTTTAATTTTTGATTTAGCATTTGAATCGTTCTATTTGTGTAGCATTAACATAGAAGCGGAGGAAGGCATCGTAATAACCGGGCCGATGCTAATGAGTGAGGTGAATATAATTTTCAGTGCTGCGATTTGCCGAAAGTTTTGATTAAGTCAGTAAGACTGGTAATTTCGAAGACAATTCGCTTTACTGAATAATTGGGAGTAAGGTCGGTGATACGTGATATTGGAAATTTTAATTTGTAGCATGGTTTATTGCGTTTTTCGGCAAATTTTTAAGTATTACAAACAAAGGACAAATACATTTTTTCTTTCTTAGCGTAAGCTAAGGAAGTCTTGTAATCGAGTGCATCGGCCGAATTGCCATTTCCATGTTTTCTCGAGGTGTCGAACTCTAGAGTACGAAAAAAAGTAGTCTCCCGTTTCCGTCTGTCAGTCAGTCAGTCAGTCAATCTGTCTGTCTGCCTGTCTGTCTGGTGTCTGTATCCATTTTTATTAGACAAGTAATTTCCGAAACTACTGGACCGATTGTTGTCAAATTTTGTATGTATATTAGGAATACCATGTAGATGGTTAAATGCTAACTAAAATTTAGCTAATCATCCCCACCCCTAGTGGGATGACGGTCATCTCCAAAATTTATAATAAAAAGTTTTTTGAAATTTTATAAAATAAGGTAGGTACCTACTCCTGCACCTGTCGAATTGTCACCACAGACATCCAGAATTTTTGGAAAAAATTCAAAAGTGAATAACAATATTTTGTAATATAACTGTGAAACTGCAAAACCGAATGCCCTGAAATCTTGTAAATATTTTAAGGATATCGTAATCATGGTATATCGGTAAGCAAAATTTATTCGTTAATCCCCTCCCAAAAAATCGATGACGTCATCTCAAAATTTTGCTGAAAATCCCATCCAAAATGCGCAAAATATGATGAGTCTGTAGTCACCATGCGATTAGGCAACCAGATATACAGCTATCAAAATCACTACGCGCAAGAGCAGAACAGCCAAAAAGAAGCAAAGTAGACGGAGGAGCAGGGGAAGCGCTCTCTCGCAACCCAGCTAGGGATGGGCATTTCCATAGATGGGCATTTCGTTCATTTCGTTCACTTCGTTCACCGTTCACTTGGTTCTTAATCATTCAAGGCTCAGGGATCTATTGATGAATCATTCGGTCTTTCGGCTCTTCGGTCAATGGTCTTGGTTTCTCTTTTGCTTGAATCCGATCACTTTATAGGGAAGGTCATGCTCAGAACTATCGCATAGGTATTCGAAAAAAAAACCCCGGCCCATTGCTGTCTTTTTTTTTCTAATACTGCATTGTGTGATACGTCAAATTAAATCGTTTGAAATATACTATGATCTAATTCAAAAAATTAATGATTTAGCGTCTATTTGGTTTTGTCTACATTTAATTTTTTTTAACCTTCAAACTACCGGGTGGGGTCCAAATGGGCCCCATTGATACATTTTCCTATTTTTTCCCGTTATTTCTGGTTTAACAATAGTGGTATTTTTAGTAGCTTCGATTAAGGCCTTTTGCTATGCATTCAAAAAATATCAGTTGTATAGGTGTAACAGTTTGTTACAAAAAAAAAAAATTTGTCTCTTGGGGTCCGCATGGACCCCACCTGGTTCTTTATGTTGCCATTTTTTTGTCTATATTTTGGAGATTTTGTTGCACCTACAGGTCTTATTCTGAGAATTTAGTCTTACAAAAACCATTGTTTTATTCTTTACTAGTTTATAGGCGGCGTTGCAGTTTTGATACAGACTTGCAGGTGTCAGTGTGACAATGTAATCACTGTAAAAAATTAAATTTTGTTTTATCAATGGCACGTTATCAAAATCGATATCAGTACAATCCCCCGGACGCTGTTTCGTCTATATAAGTAGCAGGGACAGAAATCAAGAAATTTTTGCATTTCCTGCAAAAGATTTGTTTGCTGATAAGTATTAACAAACGAGTACGTGTTGATTATGTTTATTAAATTGCTTACAAGTTTTACGTCTTACCTACTCGACTGTCAGTCTCAAAGAGGCCGAGTCGTTACAAGAAATATCCATGCCTACGCTACGCGCAGTCGCATTTCATAACGTCTTACTATTGACCTACTTCCTACTTAACCTACTGTACACTTAACCTACGCCTTAATTAATACATTACATATCCCCCCATTTAAGATTAGTACATTTAAAAAAAAAAAACCGAATGCGCCTAATATTAATTCCTAATCTCTGTAGCGTGCTGGGATGTTACAAGAACGCTTTGGTCTATCGCGTACCGGAATGACTGGAATAGGATTGGGTTGCGGTTCGAGAGATGGTGTTTGTTCTGGTAGTGGCGGTGTGGCTGACGGCATTGTTGGTTCCCCAGGCATCTTCCTTTGTGGTACTTCTTGGTTTGTATTCGCTGATTGTACTGTCTCTGACTTGCTGTCCTCAGTGCTTGGTGCTTCAATTCTTTTTCTCATTTGGTCAACGTGTCTCCTCCATTTTTGTCCATCTGGTAACTCGCACGTGTAGTTTCGTGGTCCCAGTATGTCGATGACCTTTGCTTCCTGCCAAGTTTTGGTATTAGGCTTCCGATAATCCCGAATCCAAACTATACTTCCCTTCTCAAATGTTGGAGAATCTCGACCTTTATGGTTAAATTGCCTTTCTGTGTCTCGGTTTGTGTCAGGTCTCATTAAGTTGAGCGTCGTGTGGAGATGTCTACCCAGCATCAATTTCGCTGGCGTTTCATTCGTTTGACAGTGCGTGGAATTTCTATACCAGAATAAATACCTGCTGACAAGAGTGTCTGTCGAAACGTGTCGGTTTCTTTGGTCTAAAAGCGCTGCCTTGAAGCCTTTCTTAAAACTCTTTACTGCATTTTCTGCTGCTCCATTTGTCTCTGGTTTGTACGGCGGTCCGGTAACGTGCCTTATTCCATTTCTTTTTAAGAAAATTGAAAATTCCTCGGATGTGAGCTGTGTGCCGTTGTCTGACACCAAAGTCTCTGGAATTCCCCATCTTGCACATGTTTCCCTGATTTTGCTAATTGTTGCAGCGGACGTGATTGAGTTCATTTTAAAAATTTCAGGCCATTTACTATAAGCATCCAACATAATGAGGTAGTGGCTGTTATTAATCGGTCCAAGGAAATCGATGTGCACTCTTTGCCACGGACGCGTTGGTCTATTCCACGGAATTGGGATCGCTTTCTGACGTTCCCTTGCGACTTTATTGCATGGAATACAGCTACGAGCTATGTTCTCAATGTCCTTGTCCAAATTCGGCCACCAAAAATAGGCTCTGGCTATTGATTTCATTTTGACAATATCCAGGTGACTGCTGTGTAGTTCCTCTAACAGGTGGTGCTGCAGCTTTCTGGGCACAATTACTCTGTAGCCCCACATCAGACATCCTTGTTCGCAGGTTATCTCGTCTTTCCTCTGGACGAACGGTTTTAGGAAATCGTCTGTTTTTTGCTCTGGCCACCCCTCAGTTACGAACTTTACGATCTTACTCAGCGTGGGATCACGACGTGTGTCTCGCGATACCGCGGTGTGTGTGACTGGCATTCCCTCTGCAATCACTAGGTTGAGGTGTGTTGTCTCTGTAACCTCCTCAGACTCACCTGGTGTTTCTGAGTACAGTGGATGTCTTGACAACATGTCAGCTACACTGTTCTCCTGGCCTTTGACGTATTTGATTTTGTATTGGAATCCGGACAGATAGAGTGCCCACCGTTGGAATCTAGCTGATGCCATTTGTGGTATTCCTTTTTGCTCTCCGAAGAGGTAGATTAGTGGCTTGTGATCCGTGTGTATTTCAAAGCTATGCCCTAGAAGATATGTCCTGAGTTTTGATGTCGCCCAGTAAATCGCCAAAGCCTCTTTATCAAGAACCGAATAATTGCCTTCTGCCTTGCTTAGCGTCCTGGAAATGAAGGCTATTGGTTTCAAGTCCCCATTCGTCGTCTTGTGTGATAAGATGGCTGCAATTCCATAATGTGAGGCGTCCGTTGATAGAATTATCGGTCGTGAAGGGTCGAAGTGCTCTAGTACCCTATCTGACGCTATTTCTTGTTTGATGAGGTTAAATGCTTTTTCGCAACCCTGATCCCAAGCAAATTTCCTGTCGCTTTTTAACAGCTCGTAAAGAGGCCTCATTATTCCCGCAAATTCTGGTACAAACCTGCTGTAGTAATTTACTAAGCCAACAAAACTCTTTACCTGCCGCACATCTCTTGGCCTGGGTGCTTCAAGCATGGCTCTGATCTTGTCCTTGTTGGTTTTTAAATCCTCTCTTGAGATTACATATCCTAAGTATTTTATCTCATTTTTGCAAAATTCGCACTTTGATAATTTCAACACAAAGCCTGCCTCTTTCAGCCTTAGGAACACCTGCCTCAGGTTGTTTTTATGCTCTTGCCTGGTCTTTCCAGTGACTAGTATGTCATCTAAAAAGTTGGTCACCCCTCCGAGTCCGCTTAACGTTTGTTCTAATGTGCGCTGAAATATTGCGCTTGCTGGTACGATCCCGAAGGGGAGCCTATTTACCTTGTATAGACCCTTGTGCGTGCTCCATGCCAGTAATTTGGCTGATTCCTGGTCCACGACTAACTGATTGTATGCGTCGCTTAAGTCAATCTTGGTGAACGATTTACCCCCATTCAACTGCATAAATATTTCCTCTATTCTAGGCAAGGGGTATTTCACCTCTCTGAGATGCCTGTTCACCGTCACTTTGTAATCGCCACAAATTCGGATGCTACCATTTGCCTTTAATACCGGAACAATTGGTGTCCCCCAATCTCCGTGCTCAATGGGAGAAATTACACCTTTCTCTTCCAACCGCTGTAGTTCTGCTTCCACTTTTGATTTATAGGATAAGGGTAGGGCTCTAGGTTTATGATAAATGGGTTGGGTGCTGTCGGATTTTAGTTCTAGTATAAACGTCCTGTGCTTGTAACATCCCAATTGCTCTGAAAATAGATTATTAAATTCATCGGCAAAAATTTTTGTATCGGCGCCTAAGCTATTAATTTCACAATCGTTATTTATTAATGTAAATTTGAATTTACTTAAAAAGTCCCGGCCCAACAAATTGTTGTCCCCTGTCTTATCTACTACATGAAATATAAAATCATTGTGTACCACATTTTTATACCTTAACGTAGCCTTTATGTAGCCCTTATTGGCAACAGTATCTCCCGAGTATGATTTTAATTTAAGTCTGCTTTTAAACAATGGACATGCAGTCTTAAAATACTGGTTATAACACTCCTCTGTTATGACGGATAAGGTTGCTCCACAGTCGATCTGTATTGGCAACCTCACATTGTTTACACTAACCTGCAGCTTCATTGGTTCCTCCACTTGAAAGTCTAAATTAAAAATTTGTGCCTCTTCAAAATCTTCTTCCGCTTCTATGGCGTTTTGTGTAGCTCTTGACCTACAGACCTTGGCTAAATGACCCACTTTATGGCAAGAGTTGCATTTGTACGTTGCGTATTTGCACCTCTGGTTCCCTGTATGTGCGGCTCCACATGCTTTACAAGACCACCTCCTTGGATTGTTCCCATTTCTGCGTCCTTCGAGTACTCCTGACGTGTTGTTTGCGTTGCCCGAAAATTCTGGATTCCACCTTTCTTTTCGGACCAGATTAATCTCCTTGTCAGCCTTGATGGTGGTTTCTCTCGCTAGTGCGATTTCCAAGAGATTTTCTAGTGACTTGCTCGGCTTTTCCTCGCACAGTCGGTCTCGAATTGGGCCCTTTCGCATACCGCACACGAATTTGTCTTTGAGGACGTTCCCCAGGTCCGTACCGAAGTCGCAATTCGTTGAGAGATTGTGTATTCGCACGTGCCAATCGTTCACGGTCTCTTCTTCCAACTGCTTCGCGTCGTAGAATTCTAACCTCTCTCTGAAAACGCACGTGGTCGGAGAAAAATGCTTCTTCAAGTGGTTGCAGAGCTCTTCGTACGTCTTGTCTTTAGGGGCTTTTGGTGTGCACAGGTCTCTGAGTATCTTGTAAGTATCTTGGCCAATTAAACTGATCAACGCCGCTACTCGCTTCTTAGATGCTTCCGTGTCCTTGATGTCATTTATTTCGAAGTATTGCTCGAGCTGTTCTTGGTATAAAATCCAGCTGTCCACACGTGGATTGAAATTTTGTATCGAACCAATCATCTTCGTTGTTCTTCTTTTTAATCCTCGTCGCCAGTGATAAGTATTAACAAACGAGTACGTGTTGATTATGTTTATTAAATTGCTTACAAGTTTTACGTCTTACCTACTCGACTGTCAGTCTCAAAGAGGCCGAGTCGTTACAAGAAATATCCATGCCTACGCTACGCGCAGTCGCATTTCATAACGTCTTACTATTGACCTACTTCCTACTTAACCTACTGTACACTTAACCTACGCCTTAATTAATACATTACATTTGCCGAGATCATTCTACTCATACCGTTGAATGTCAGGAATGCTGGAACAAAAAACTGTAACGAAAAATGCTTATTTAATATTGTTATGTAATTTTTTTAACTTGGTTGTGTTTAAAATTAATAAACAATTTGGATTCGCCAAAATTTTTTTATTAATTCTATAATTTTGGCTAAATAAGGCCATGGGGTCCAAACGGACCCCACCCGAAACGATGTGTAATTTTTCCCACCCGGTAGTTTGAAGGTTAATGCCTCCCATTTTTTTAAGGATTCATGTAACGATTTTTTCCTGAATTCTGTGATGTAAAAATAATAATTTAATATTTAAAAAAAGTAACTTGAATTTGTGGACTCAAATAATTGTGTTAATAAATACATCAATAGCACTTTTGACACAAAAATTAAATTCGTTTTTATCACAGCTTCCAAGCAACTTTTGAATAAAAAAAATAATTTATTGGATCTTTCGAATCATTCGGTCGTCGCCCTTACGATGAACAATGTAGGAGCAGATTTGTTTTGTTTCCTTTTATACCTTTTCCTTACGTTCTAATGTGATGAAGCCGTGAAAAGTCACGTTCATTGACTATATATATTTTGTACCTTTTTTACGTGGCCATAGGGATTTTTTTATTAATAACACTAGTTTACAAGGTTTTATATCCAAAGACAAAAATAGTTGAATTTGGGTTCGGGGAATTCAAATCTGAAAGCAGAAAAAATCCATCACGTCAGGTTTTTGAGATATTTATATAAACATACCCCGTATTTCTTTGCTTTTATACAACTATTGTAATTTTTTTATTTTTAAATATATATGTATATGAACATATTGTTCTTTGAGCAAATTTGTATCATTTTAAAAGATCATTTACGTAAATAAATAACATGAGTCAATTTTTCAAGCTACTAGATTGTCACCAATGTTTTATTTAAAATTTTTCAAGTATTGATTTTAGAATAATTGGTTGCTTTTGATTTTTCTACGGGAAGTGATAATAAAAATGTGAGGTTGGCTTCCCAAAGATCTTTCAAAATGATATAAATTTGCTCAAAGAAATACAGGTTTATCTTTAAGAATAAGGAAGTTACAGGGGTTGTATCAAATAAAAGCAACACCCAGTATATATTTATAAACATTATGACGGAAAATTAAAAATGATTAACACTAGCACTTCTTTTATTGACAGTACTGTCAGTTTCCCTTATAATAGACCAACAGTAACACATTTTCGTCCCAAAAACCTTGATACCTTCTTTTAAAGCATATTTGAAAAGGTCTTCCCGCTTTAGGTACTATAATTTTACCATAAACATAACAAAACTGATTTGCACTTACTTTGCACGATCTCGAAGACATTTTTTATGCGACAATGGTGCATTAACATGAATCAGTTTAACACTAACGTGAAGGTAAAAGCAAAGTTCATTATTTTGGATTTATGAAAAAACCTGACGTGATAGGGATTATCCGTTTTTGGATTTGTTATCAGTAAGAAATTTAGAATGAGAAAATATTTTGTTTATTTTTGGATATGAAAAAAAGTTTAAATTTGTAAACTAGTATAATCATTACAGTAGTAAATAATAATTCTTTATTTACATTTATTTTTTTAGTTTCTAATGTTCAGACGTTTATGAACATTGTATATTAGTTATCGTCATAAATTGTCATTTTCGTTCCCGGTTCCTAATTTAAATTCATACTACTGGAATTAATCTGTCGGGAAAATTTATGTTCTTAGTTAATTCCATAAATAGCATAGCATGTGCTCCTAGTATTGGATACAGAACATAGAACTGTGCTGGAGCCATGATTCAAAGATCCAACGGAATCAAGATCCAGTCGAGACAATGTGAACGGTGAACGAGTGAACGAGTGAACGAAATGAACGAAAGAACGACTAGTTTGCGTCGCGAACGATTTCGGTCACTCGTTCATTCGAACGACCCGTTCAATTTGATTCGTTCGTTCGCGAACGACACATCTCTAAACCCAGCACCTGAAGAGTGAGGAAGTACAGTCCACCAGCGCTTCCGCGACATACTTTTATATTTTTTTCATAATTTTTGTTATAAGTTAAGTGTGCTTTTCGTAGTGAATAAAGCCTTGTTAAAATTACTACAAGTCTATACTTGTGAATTATCATTGCATTAAAAGTTTTTAAATTTCTTATGCAGGGTGACTCAGAAAAATGAATTAAAGAGTCAATTTACTTTAGTGATTAAATCAGGAACGGCTCACTCCGTTTTCTCGAAAATTTGGGAGTACAATACTGTTATCATTAGTATTACACTACACCTATCCAAAGTTATATATACCGGGCATTTTTTTTTAAACTGAACATAGGCCTATGTTCAGTTTTAAAACGACGCTGTCAATGCAGGAACATTGTTGGTTGCATAACCACGAGAAATCGTTTGAGTAAAGCAGAGCTTTTTCACCGAAACTACAGCGTGTTATGCACATGTTCAACAATAAACAAAACCATAAATACGACAAAAATTTTATAAAACAAAAACTAAATTTTATAACAAATATTCGAAATGACCGCCTCCCTGTTCCAAGCAATAACCAAGTCTGTGATGGAATCCTTGCACTGATTTCGTACGAAATTTGGATTCAACTCTTGGCAAGCTCTGACTATTCGTTCCTGTAACTCCTGAATTGTTTGAATTTCTACGTGATCATAAATTGTATTATGTAGGTGTCCCCAGAGAAAAAAATCATTCCTTCAAAACTTTTCGAATTGAGAATCTGGAAATACCGAAGTAGTTACTCATTTGCGTTATGGTGGATATTGGTTCCTCTTCAGCGTAGCATAATACGTTTAATTTCATCTCTTCGGTTAAAATGTGACATCTCCTATTTCTTTGATGATGGCTATTGACGACACATCCTCTTGCATTAAAATTTTTAATTATGTTCCAAATTGTTGCGAGAGACGGAATTGACCTAGTGGGTACTGTATTGAAAATAAATCCCTTACAATTCGCATGCTACTACCAGCTTGGTACCATTGCAGTATTTGAATTTTTTCTTCTGTCGAATACATTGTGTGCAAGCAGTTTTGACATTTTAGAAAACATTTCAAAGCATTCTATTTGATTCTACTTTTTTAAACGATGGAGTTGTTGTAATGTTGGTTGCATTACAGTTGCAATTGACTGCGTCGTTTTAAAACTGAACATAGGGATATGTTCAGTTTTAAAAAAAATGCCCGGTATATACGTCAATGATAACTTTTGGCCTCGCGCCAGATTTAGGCAACAAGTAATGGGAGAATATGAAAACCACATCCTAGCCTCAAACCTGTCATATCTGTGTTCAAATTTGTATTTATGGTTGCATCATTTACAAACAAGCGAATGCTTGACGTTATAGTTTAAACTGTTTTCGTGTAAAAGAAAGAAAAAATGGTATGAATCAGTTTATTCAGAAACAATTTTTTGGAATTAAAACAGCCACATAAGAGGCTGAAGAAATTAAGATAATCAAAGAGAAAAGAAAACACAACTTAAAACTAGGAAAGCTTACTTCGTAGTAAGTGCAATTATATTCTATGAACATTTAATACTACTATACAACACCAAAGTAGATTATTCATATTTCTTATGAAGTTAGAGATTGCAATTATTAACAAAGTTGACAACATATGGATAAAGTTAAATATATATCTTTTAGTCAAAAGAGGTGTCTGCATAATTTGTTACAATGTGTTTGCAGGTATATTTGTACAATGCAACAGCTGCTGCATTCACTATCCAAATGTAATGTATAAATAATGATTTGTCTGGTGTATGGTGCGGTCTTAAAATTAGGTATTTTTACTATATTTCAATTGGATAAATATTTTTACACATATTTGTAAATTCTCGTGCTTTGCCAGTTTTAGACGTAGGAATTTTAATTATTAGCGTATCGTTTTTGTCTTGAATGCCGTCATTCTTTCTCAATTTATCCATTCCACATGCTCCTACAACTTGTAATAAAAAATAAACCTAAAACATAATGATTTATAGATAATGTGATTGACCTTGTTTCAGATCACCTTTAACATCAGGTACATTTAATCATGGGCTTCTGTTAAAAATTTTGGTAAGTCTTCTCTTGTAAATATATTTGATTTCTTGGCAACGTAACCTATATTTTTTGCTTGAAAACTTGGTGTACTTAGATATATCTATGCTGTTTTTTATTAACAGTGTTGACTTTAACTACGACTATGCACCCAAAGTGTTAAAGATTTCACAGAATTTGCTTTTCCAGCGAAATACTCGTATGCAATGAGGTGTTCTCCATATATTTCGCATGGTTGTTTCTGCGCCAAAAAAAAAAATTTTCATACCGCTTTTCATAAACTGTGGTTGAGTTTTTGGGTAATAAATTTGATATATTATCTGCCAGTTTTTGCAAGTTCGGTCGAATGCATGTAAAGTTCTTGTCATTATAGCTATCCATCTCTATTTTGCAATTGCTGCAGATCTTTCTGCAAGCAAAAATATTATTAAAAGTGCCAAAAAATAAGAGGTATGCTTCATACTTTCATTTAAAATGGGCATGTAAGCTAATAATCTGTTCTGTAATAATAATAAGCTTATTATAGGTTATGTAGATACAAGAAAATTGTTCAAATTCTTCCATTCCGCATACTCCTACAACCAGGTTCGAATAAAAAATATACCTAAAACATTATGTTTTGTAGACAATGTGATTGACTTTCTTTGAGATTACCTTTGACATTAGGTACATTAATCACGGGCCTCTGTTAAAAATTTTCGTAAGTTTTCTCTTGTAGAGCGGCTTTCAGCACGAAAGGGTACAGGGGCGGGGCTTAAGTTGCGCGACTTGTAGCCGGGCCATCAGTGGCGTAACATCGATGCATTGAGAAGGGAGGCTCGGCTGAGTTGTACTTCTTTCAAAAACAATTAAAAAAAGAGCAATTTCTACAAAAGAATACAGACAACCATTTAATAAAAATAAATTAATT